TCCGTAATTATTACTGTATCGTCTGCAAAACGTAAGTTATTCAAAACTTCTCCATTGATAGATATACCTTCTATTGAGTCTGAGAGCGCTTCTTGAAATACCGCTTCACTGTAGACATTGAAAAGTAGTGGGGACAGCACGCAACCCTGGCGGACTCCTCTCTGTATTTTGATATTTTCGGTGTACTGGCTGTCAACTCTTACCTTGGCAGTTTGATTCCAATATAAATTAGATATAATTTTCAGATCACGACTGTCAATATTTTTGCTTTTTAATATATCTACAAGCTTTTTATGTTGAACTTTATCAAATGCCTTTTCAAAGTCTACAAAACATAAGTACATATCCTGATTCATGTCCATGCATCTCTGAGCCAGCACATTCAAGCCGAACAAAGCATCTCTTGTACTCATACCATTTCTAAAGCCAAATTGTGTGTCACTAATCTCATATTCAAGAGTTTTAACAATTCTGCTGTGAATTATTTTCAAAAATGTTTTAAGTGTGTGACTCATTAAAGCTATTGTTCTGTGGTCTGAGCAAGTTGTTGAACTTGGTTTTTTGGGAATTGCTACAAAGGTTGATTGCAGCCATTGTCTGGGGATTGTGGCAGTCTGATATATTAGATTAAAGAGTTCAACCATTACATCAATAACATCTTCATCGATGAGTTTTAATAATTCGATGGGCACCTCATCTGGTCCAGTAGCTTTACCCTCTTTTGTGTTTTTGATGGCATAGATGACTTCTTCTCTTAATATTGGTGGTCCAGTATCCTCGGTGATTTCTAATGACAGTTCTTCTCTTTCATCATTAAATAGTTGTTGAATGTAATTGGTCCAGTGACATAATCTCTCCTTCATATCAGTAATAATATCCCCTTTATCATTTTTAAGGATATTCGTTTTTGTACGCTTTCTAGAACCTGTCATTTCTTTGATTTTTTTGTGTAAATTAAAGCTATCGTACTTTTTATCCAGATCTTCTATTTCCTTGCATCTATCGGAGAGCCACCTCTCTTTTGCCTCTCGAATTTTCTTTCTGATGTTTCTCTGAATTTCTTTGTATTTATTCAGGTCTTTTGCTTTATGTTTTCTTCGTTCTTCCATGAGTTCAAGAATTTCTACTGTCATCCAAGGTTTTGTTTTTTCTTTAAGTGGTTTGAGGGTTTCTTTTCCAACTGACACAAGGGCATGTTGAATTTTTCCCCATTTTTGGTCAATAGTTAGAGTTTCTGCATTATCTTCTTTGACTTTCCTTAAGCTCTCGTTTATTTTAAATTTGGTTTCCACATATGTGTTGTCTTGTTTGAGACGTCTTGTATCTATGATTTTCTTGGTGCTAGGGCTGTTGACCTTCTTTAGTTTCACTCTCATCGACAAAACAACCGGGTTGTGGTCGGAGGATATGTCCGCTCCTGGATAAGTTTTAGATGATATTATAGAATTTCTATATCTTCTGTTGACGATAATATAATCTATTTGATTTCTGACTATTTTGTTGTTATTGTCAGCTGGTGACCTCCATGTATATAGTCTACGTTTAGGAAGTTTGAACAAGGTATTTGTAATTATGAGTTCCTCATTGACACAGAAATCGACAAGCCTATCGCCACGTTCATTCCTTTCCCCGAGTCCATATCGCCCCACGCAATTCTCCACTTCTCCTTGGCCAACTTTAGCGTTCAAATCGCCCATTATAATATTATGGGTCTATTACCCATAGACAATTGGCATAATCACAAAACTATTTTCAATGTTTTGCAGATTTTTATAAATTCGGCCAACCGCGCATCTGTGCCATTTAATACATCACTGCTGCCTTCTACTAAAATGACACGTGAACTTATTTCTTTATCTATTAAGTGATAGCGGAACTAATTTCTCACTATCAAAATGCCAACTTATTACGGTTATATCAACAAAATCTCTAGTTTGCAGCTTTTAATTATAATTTTATCTTTAGGAATTAAGCAAAATTAAGCAAAAAAACATTTGCTTAAAATACATGTTTTTGGATAGTTGATCATTTAACGTAGTTATTTTGTACCTAAGTTCAAAAATTATTACACAATACCAATTTTTAGGCACGTTACCACGTAAGTTATAACATGGATTAATTTAAGTACAGTTATAAAAAAATTACTGCTTTCTTTGGAATTTTTAACTATACTCTGTTTTTTAACCAGGAGGAGTAAACCAAAAAGACAGATTCACACCAAGAAAGTTACTAAAAAAGTCACCAAATACATCTTTTTTTGTTGTATATCTCGGCTTGCGGTAATCGAGTAATCCATATCGGACAACCTTACACGTCAATTCTAACCTAACTTTATGTTTGAATAATATATTTTTTTAATTCACTTCCAATATATATTACAATTATTACAATAAAAAAGGACGTTTTTCACATTTGGTCCCATGTATATATATTTAATATCGGGTGATCCAGTTTTATAGATCTTTTGAGTCGATGGTACTTAATTTAGAGAATATTTTGATCCAGAGAGTCAATAATGTTACAGATCTAAGTATGGTTTTTCTCAGAAATTGTCTTTTAATTTGCAAATAGATCTCATATGCAACAAAGCTATGCAAATGCATGTATCAAAAAGTTAGAGAGAGTTCAAAGATTTCTGAAATACTGTTCTTTTAAACTGCGTAGACCATATCTTATTCTGGTGTGATTAATTTCTTGAATCTAGGTTTTTTTTCTTACCAGAAAAATTAACTTTGACTTTGATCATTATTTTTAAGCTTAATAATCCAATCTCCTGAATTGCTTCAGCCAGTTTGTTTTACATATTCCTTCCCATTCACTGCTTTAGAATTGACTTTTTCATGTTTCATATCACAGAATAAATTATGGTTCAAATATAGGTGTGGTCCTACTTTTCATGCATGGTAATCAGTTACCTCATTAGATAGATTTAACTTATGTATCAATATCTTAAGGATCTATTTGAAGCACTAAAATGCAAAACAATAAATTTGTATAAATAAGTGTGTACTTGCAATTTCTTTAATGCTGGATTCTTGTTTAATTTTGACAGTGAGATTGTCCCAATTGTTATCAATAAATAAAATTTACTAAAAAATACTGGATTTCTGTGAGATAATCAACTAATTCAATATATTATGTTACATTCTAGTATAATTTTGTAGTTTTCTTGTGATGATCTACAACAAAAAGAACAAAACCAACTGTATCAATACAATCAAAGTAAAACACAACATTACTAATGTTCTTTTATTGTGATGAAAACAAAATGAAAATGCTCCTTAACAAGTATACACAAATTTAAAAGATAGTTGCCGTTTTTCTTATGAGAATTAGATATACCTAAATATCATACATTTATAAATTTATAAACACTGTAAACTCTATTTATTAGTATATATATCAGCTAGAAAAATATCACATTAAATACTATTATCGCATATCACCAAGTGCAAGTTATTACAAAAACAACTTAAAGAGTCAGAAATCGATTTATGTAATATTCTGTGCATAATATATATTCGTAATGAATGTAAAAATAAAAATTTAATAATTTTATTAGTCTTCCAAAATATCTCCATTTATGTCTTGGTGAGATTAATGAACAACTACACCATTTTGAATTTCTTGATTTATTTTTTCAGCAACAACTTAATCTATTTCAGATATTTGAGCAAGAAAGTTCTGTTTTTGATCAGCAGCCCAATGTATAAACTATTCTTTGAATAATTTCCCCTAAAAAATAACTATGGTAAGACATTCATAATATAGTCAACATATCAATCATCCTATAAACAGTAAGATAAATAATATATAGTTATGCTATGTAATATTTGCTGCATTGAATCTGCATATTTAAAGTAAAAATATCCTTTTTTCCTTTTCTTCCCTTTCCATGTTCTTATATCTGTTGAACCAAAATACTTGACAACATTCCAGTAGAGTATACAAATAAAAGACTTAAAACTTAATATTTAATAGCAACAATAATATACCTGATTATAAAAATGAAATCTATAAAATGTTTTAGTTAGTTTTACTATATAATTGTAGCTAACCCATATTTACATACCGATATTTGTACTTACTTCAAATTGATTTGCTTAAAGAATTTATATAATAATGAGCGACACATATTTTGGAAGATCTGAGCGTTTGTTAATTTCACTTAAAATTTTACCTAAAGTGAGCATTTCATTCTTGAAAAAGAAGCTGTTTACTATCTGTCGTATAGATGTTTTAACTCTTTCATCCTATGTTGCAAGAATATAAGGTCGACCTTCAATATTTTTAGGACATTTTACAGCTCCAGTCTGCTTATATTCTTTAATTGTTCCAAATTCTATTGTTGTAAATAGTTGAATTCGCAACACCTAAAATTAGCACATTACTTTAGTAAGTCTTGATTTTAATAATAACTATTCTGTAAAACTAATCTGCTGCCTGTTTTATTTTTACTACCGTGGCTGCTATTTTTATTCCAGAAATCAATTTTCATGTTTGTACATGTTTATAGTACAATATTTCTCATTTGATGATAAATGATCCAAATCTACTCGACGTTTTTAAGGTGGAGAAGAATAATTACCACTAGTACTTGGCATTGAATCCATATTGTTATCTTAATAACACTAATATTGCGCTAAATAGTTCTGAAAAGAACTGTTTTTTATATTAATGCAAACGAAAAATCTAAAGATGTAAGATATAACACAGGAAATTGTCAATATAAATTTTGAATTTTAAAATTTCACAAATGTCATTAGTGTCAATATGTCATAATTTAGTGGAGTAAACTTGCCTGCGCTTCGACCAATTACAAACAAGCATTATGGCACGGAAAATTTGAATTACTCCTTCTGGTTTAAAAACATACCATAGATATCATTAAAATAAAAAGTTATATAAATTTTAACATTGTGACATACCACCTTAACTGACAATCCTATTGATTAGTTGTAAAAGTTTATTTTGATAAATTTAGACAATTATTTTTCTAGTTCTAGGTTTAAAGAAGCTGCCTCGGAACAAACGGAGGCTCTGATAGGCATTAATTGCGAGCACGAAGCGTAAACAAAAACAACAATCAACAAGAAATACTTTAAGGAATCTCAGGCCTATGATAACCCATGTCTGCTGGGAATATTGTTACAAGCTAATGCTTTACATTCCATACACATGTAAAACGCTCAGTATTTTAGTTTTTCATAAATAATATGCATACAACTGTAGAAAGAAGTTTTTATGCGCTGAATAATAAGGCAAATATATGTATTTAATACTTTATTTTGTCGTTTGTAATATTTTGTTGTATTTAATATTTTGACTTTTTCTCTTGTCATTTGCTTGGCACGCAGTAGTAGTGATTCAGAAATAAATGTCAATATCCTCTCTTATATGACAAACTTGATATCGTTCAATATACCAATATGTCATATTGTAACATCAAGCATAATGGCACTCTCATCTCACGTCATAATAGAGCTGCAGCTCAAATTTCTACAATATTATAAACAATTTTTTAAGAGTGTAAATGTGTTACAACCTTCTCCTTTACTGTGCTTGGAACCGGCAGTGACAGTTGTGAAGCTGCTGAATCTACAACATAACTACCCCGGGCGGAGTGGAAAATAATAAAATCAATGCTTCAAAGTAGTAAAAAAAAGATATAATATCACCCATAAGACAACACATAATATTATGGAAAAATTACTTTAAAACACTACTTCTAAGAAAAGACCAGAATTCAACTCAATTCAGAAACGGAAATCAATTATTTTATACAAAAATCTTCGCCTATCCGAATAGATGTCACAGAAATTAAAAATATATTAAGGCAATAACAAACGCCAAAGTACAAGGCGTAGACAACATCTCAGCAGAATTGTTAAAAAATGGAACAAACAAACTTGATCAACATCTATCAAGACTATTCCAAAATTGTCATAACGAAACGAATAAAAATTATCACATCTCTCAACTATTCATAAAAAGTTAAACAAAGAAGGTTTTCAAAACTGAGATTATATCAAGAAAGAGTAACCAACGAGGATATCCGCAGATATATGAACGCAAAGCACAATGATTTACCACATAAAATACAAACAACTGAAGTGATACGGTCACGTTCAGAGAATGGGAAAAGATCTATTACCAAAGCAAATACTAGACTTGGCACCTCAGGGAAGATGTAGAAGAGGTAGATCTCGAACAAGTTTGAGGTTGTAAACAAGGGCCATGAAACTCAATGGGAAATTCTAAACTGTTGAATTCCTCTTTCCCTAAATATTTTACATCAAATGTACATAGTGCACGAATGTGTATGACATGTTGCGTAAGATGTTTGTCAATATTTTTATTTTATGATTAAATTATAAACTAAATACTACTACCACAGAATAGATAACAATCAGAATGCCCTCTCTCAGATGCCGCCTTTGAAGTTTGTCGCGATCGCCATATTTTAGACGGAAACATAGACTCGAATTTAAATTTTTAGACATTAATAATTTAGTACATTTGAAATAATTTAATCTATTCTTTAACTAAAAGTACGAATGAAATAGTGCATATTAGGTCTATAGTTGCCGTAAATAAATTAAACCGGGTTAATTTTTCTATGCACACCAGATAAAATGCCACTGAACGGTACTGGTTCCGACTAAAACATGGCTGATTCAGTCTGCGCGAACGAGATGCGCATACTTATTTTTTCAAGCAGAGTGGGCATTCTAATTGTTCATTATTCTGTGTTACTACTACTTACTTACTTACTCCGTGGCGTTACAACCTTTCGTGGGTTGTAGCCGACTCGACAACATGCCTCCACTGTTTTCTGTTTTGAGCAACCTCCATCCAATTCTCCACGCCCATAGTGCTTAGGTCTCCTGCTATATTGTCTCGCCGTCGGAGACGAGGGCGTCCGCGTGGACTCCTTCCAGTTGGGACTTTCTCCCACACCAGTCTTACTGTTCGTGCGCCAGAATGTCTTCTGAGGTGTCCTGCCCATTTAAGTTTTCTGGACTTTATTTCTTTTATGATGTTGGCGTCTGGGTAAAGTTCTTCAAGCTCTTTGTTAGTTCTTATGCTATATTGTCCTGATGCTTCATCCAACACAGGACCAAAGATCTTCCTTAGGATTTTTCTTTCCCAAACACATAGTCTCTCTTCGGTTGCCTTTGTTATCGTCCACGTTTCGCTTCCATACATCACAACGGGTCGTATGATTGTTTTATAGACCTGTATCTTCGTACGTCGTGTTAGTTGTTTTGATTTTATAAGGTTTTGGAGGGCAAAAGGCATCTGTTGCCGGCCTGAATCCTGTTGTTTATTTCTTGTGATCCGCTATTGTCTTCAGTTATTGTTGTTTTCCAAGATACTTGAATTGTCCAACGTGCTCAAAGTTAAAGTCATCGATGGTGATGTTCTGGCCGATTCTGTCTGCTGTGGTTATTGCGGCTCATATACATATATTTCGTCTTGTTTTCGTTGATTTGGAGCCCCATCTTCTCTGCTCCCTTCTCAAACTTACGAAAGCCTCCTTCATCCTTAATCGTGTGTTTCCTATTAGATCTATATCGTCTGCAAATGCCAGTAGTAAGATTGGTCCTTCTCGATGAAATGCTGTATTCGGTTTTTCGATTCTTGCACTTCTGATTATGTGTTCCAGAGCTAAGTTGAAGAGTGTGGTGAAAGTGCATCTCCCTGTTTTAGTCCATTGTTTATTTTAAATGTCTCCGAGTATTGTTGTCCAACTCTCACTTTACATCGTAACCGTTCCATACACATCCGTATCAACCTGACTAGATTTTTTGGAAAGCCAAGTTCCTGCATCGCTGTCCACAGTCTGTCCCTACATACTGTATCAAATGCTTGTTTAAAATCTATGAACATCTGATGAAGCTCACGATCAAACTCCCAGCATTTTTTCATTATCTGTTTTATTGTGAATATCTGGTCAATAGTAGAGCGGCCCGGTCTAACTCCGCAATGATAATCTCCAACGATTTCTTCTGTGTATGTTTTGGTTCTTTCTAGCAGGATGTTTGCAAGAAATTTGTAGGTGGTGTTTAGGAGTGTTGGTCCCCTGTAGTTAATTCATTGCTTTTTGTTTCCTTTTTTGTGCATTGGTACAATAACCCCTTCTTTCCATTCATCTGGCATTGTTTCTTCTTGCCAAATGTTATGAATTAGCTTGTATATCGAACTGTACAACGCTTCTCCTCCATGTTTTAAGCACTCTGCCGGTATACCATCGCTACCTTGTGTCTTATTATTTTTAAGTTTTTTAATTTCCTGTATTACTTCTTCGTATGTCGGGTATTAGTCTTCTATTTCAGCTGTATGTACCTCTATGTTTGATGTATTTCTGCTAGATTGGTCATTCAATAGTTGATTGAAGTATTCCTTCCAGGTTTTTAGGATTTCCTTGTCATCCGTGATAAGCTGTCCACTATCGTTTTGAAGAAAGTTTCCTGTTCTTGCTTGTTCCCCGGCCTTGATATCTGAAACTCCTTTGAAGAACTGTCTCGCTTGTTTGTTCTTTCTTTTTTTTTCTCTATCTCTGATACTTTGCTCCTGATACTCTTTCTTCTTCCTTTCCTTCTTTCTTTTAGTTTTCTTGTTTGTGTTCTTCTTTGTCTATACATTTCATTGCTGTTATGGAGTTCAGGCAATCATCATCGAACCATTTTTTTGTTGTTTTCTTTTTGTGTCATAGTATTTCATCTGATACGCTTGTCAGGGCTAATTTGATATTTTTTAAAGCTGAATCTATGATTTTATAGTTTTCTGTCTATGTCAGAGCGATTTACTACTACTACTGAACAATAAATATTACTTTGTAAAGTATAAATGATATTTATATGTTTATTGCAAACATTGTTTACAAAGCAGTAAAGTTAATGAAATCTAATCAGTTGACGAAAAATCACAATCATGTATTCAGGCAATAGTGCGAGCACTGCAAGATCTTTATTTAACGTAAGATATTCTTATACACTTCAATTCAATTCCAGGTTATACAACAATTTAAAGAATTTCAATATAGTTACTGTGATCCTTCCTAAAAATTATTTATGATAATTTCTAAACACAAAACTATAACAAATGTTCCAACATTTCGCCATTTTGTAACAAACGCTATCCCAATCTATTGGAAAATTCTCGTCTAACATTAGCCAGAACGTGTGAAGTTATTTTTGCACACTTTTTAATAATTCACATTTTTAATGCTTCAATATCTATAAATTTTTGGTCAGAATAGATTTTTGATTTTAGATGCCCCACCAGATAAAATGTTTGTTTGGAGCTAGATCTCCCGATCTCGTATTACGTAGGCCACTCAATTTTACAGTTAGGTCCAATCAAACAATTATTAAAGCTATTTTTAAGCACTTCCTTTCAGTTTCTTTCCATTTCTATTGTGCGCAAGGCATCCATCCATTAAACCAAATTTTTTCTTTATCTGGAGCTATTTCTGCACGTCTCGATAAAATTATCTTTTTGTATCAAGTCTAAAAACTTTTTGAATTTAAATTTTCCTCATACAAAAATGGTCCAATAATATTGTGTTCAAATATTCGTAACCAGACATTGATTTTTCGACGATATTGAGCGTCTATATTCTTTGATATTGGGTATGGCTTTCAATAATATCCTCCGCTTTCTTGTCGACCAAATCGTATACTTTTGAGTATTTGGTTCAATATTTAATGTAAATGTACATTCGTTACTTAATAAAATGTGTTTTAAAAATGGTATTTCTAAATTGAAATTTATTTGAACGGAATTTATTCCTTTTCAACATTTTTAGGCCGGGGAATTATACATATTAAACTGGTGTGCAATGGTCCGTGAACTTATTCTAGGATTTTCAATACCTACTGCTTTTAATGCATTTGGTTCATTTTGATTTTATAAATTTCTTGGTACCTCAGCACTATTGTTTATATCGGTACAATTAAAAATTATAGCCCCAAAATTTTCAAAATTTTGTCAAATCCTTTGAATTGTTGAATGACTTGGAATTGGTCTATTGGGATATCTTACGCTAAATAAAGAACTGACACGTTGCGCACTACGGTCTGAATACCACGGACATTATTTAATCAACGTTATTGTTTTTTAAACAATAAATCACAAATAAAAATTTTGGCAATTCAAATATTGTCAAATATCAGAAACATCAATATGGCCAAACGCAAGACGTCCTACATATTATTGCACTGCTCTTGGCCTTACTTTCAGGGGTGGCCTGAAAAATGTATTATATTTTTGCATTTTGAGTTATATTCTTGCATATAATCTTCTTTCTACTAATCAAACGCAACTATAAGTTTGTACTTAGGTTTATTAGGTAATATAAAAGGAAACAAATAGTTATTGTGATATTAAGAGTTAGAAAAACAAATAACACAACTGTATGTAAAAAAAATTGTTATCATAGGCCGTTTTAATTTTCCTATGCATATTTATAACAAACGTATATTATAATATGTGCATGAACAATACGAGTACTATGGAGTTTTGGTCGACTTTCTTTAGAAGAATATGAAAAATATTGCTGACCACTTAACTATGTACAAAATTGTTTTATGATCCTTTCGTTTGTATTTTTTGCTCTTTATAATGGACTAGGAATGCCAGTAAATCCTTCCAATGTCCGTCCTTGTATCTTTACTGATTCGATATTACGCAATACAATAAAACACAAAGTACTTTACAAAATATCCTGTTCCTATATACATGTGCTGGTATTTCGGTACAGTATACTTTAAATATTTCGTAGTATCTAGTATAGTATTATTGTATACGATACGTTTGTTGTAAATATTTTGTCCGTACTATTGATAATACCGACTATGGTGCTTTAATATAAATAAATGTGATCGTCTATATTATTTTTGTTAGAAAAAAGTTTAATTCTAATCTTAGACATATACAATACTGTTTTTTTTTTAGTATCAATATTGTTATTTTATGAAATACACCTGGTTTTAATTTTCTAACAAAAACCTTAGTTTTAGTCTTTTAGATATGTAATAATTCCACTAAAAACATTCCAACGTTTTGTCATTTATTGAAAATAATAAAGTGTGAAATTATTCTGTTGTTTACTATTTATTATATTTTTTTACAAGGTGAGGCCCATTCTAACGCAAGCTCATCTGACCTTACCCACTAAACACCTTTATCCCCTACGGAATTGACTGGACCAATCTTAGAGAGTAACATCGAGTATTCGCTCTAGACTTTGTCCTTTTGTCATTTTGTTTTTTTAATTTTACCAAAATTTTTTGAGGTATTAAAGAAGGAAAGTATATTATAGGGTCCCTGTCTGAGGTACAGGTGAAAACCAATCAACGGTCTCAAGAGCAGATGATGGCTGGAAAAATCACTATGGTCGAGACGGCGGAACAGCGTCTGATCCAGAAAAGGCGGCTGAAGAAGAGGTCCCCCTAATGGGGGTTGTGGCGTTAGGAATTAGCAAGGAGACCATCGGATACGGTAGGGGGGGGGGGGCAATGTTGTGAAGAGAAGCTCAACCAAAAATTAAAACGAAGAAAAGATAGAACATTCATATGTAATGCAACGTGGAATATACAACGATGGAACAAAAAGACGACGGAAGTGATCTAGAAGTTTAGAGAAAGAACATCGACATACTAGTAACAACAGAAACCAAAAAGAAAGGAAATGGAACGAAAACAATAGAAGACCATATCAAATGCTGAATCGGAGTTAATAAAGAATGTAGAGAAAAAGCAGGAGTGGGAACACCAATCAAAAATTAGTGGAAGAACAGGGTTAGAACTTCAACACCAAATAGAGCTAATCAACAAGAACATGGAGATAATTATAACAGAAGACCTTATCGGGAGAACCGGAAGGAATGACAACGATACAGTAATGGAGAGAATGAACAAAGCGATAACGGAGAACGTCGGATTAAATTATGCGAATTAAACAACATAAAAATCACCAACGGATTCTTCAGACAAAAGTATTCATAAATATACATGGACGCAAGAAACACGAAAGATGAAATCGATAATAGACTATGTAATAGTCAAACAAAATACCACAACAAAGATAAAAGATGTGACAGTCAGAAGAGAAGCAGAATGTGGAACTGGTCATAAACTACTGACATCAAAAATGAGCATTAATTGGAAACGTAACAAAACCATATCTGCAGAAGAAGCATTGAACACTATAAGATAAAAACAATACAATACAGAAATACTTCAAGAACAATCAATAAGAGAACTATACAAACAACATGTATGTAGACCAAAAATTAATAGAATTCAGATACGGCAACATCAAAAGAAATATACGAGCATATAAGGCAAACAGCATTCGAAGCCCTTGGAGAGAAAGAACATATAACAAATAAACAGCACTATTATGAAATAAATGAACCAACAAAAAGAATAATTGAAGAAAAAAAAGCAACTATACAGAAAATGGCTGACTACAAACAACTATGAAGTTGATAAAGAATATAGAGAAAAAGATAGAGAAGTGAAAAAACAAATAACACGACAAAAGAATGGGAAAGAACCTACTTAATTATTGAAACATACATAGGAGGTACAAGAACTTTGGAGTCATGGAAAGTACTGAGAGGATTGAAACAAAACTCAAGAGAAAAAATTTAATTGGGAAACAGGACAAAGAATGGAAGGAAGCACGTGCCAACTTCTTGAAAATGAAAAAGATTTTATCCAGCAAAGATCTGACATTGGCCCTCAGAATAAGGCTAATTAAATGCTATGTACACAGTGTACTCTACTATGGAGCTGAATCATGGACATTAAACCGGAATACGAAACGAAGTAGCAATAGGTCCCTATGGATTCGGACAAAGAAATGAAAGAGGCGAAATGTTTTTGAGTTTCTTGGTACGAAATGGTCTCTTTGCAATGAATAGCTTTTTCAAAAAAAGTCCCCAAAGAAAATGGACCTGGGCAAGTCCAGATGGAGTCACCAAAAATGAAATTGATTTTGTCTTAACCAACAACAAAGACATGATCCATGATGTAACAGTTCTTAATAGCTGTACAGTGGGAAGTGATCATAGAATGGTAAGAGCGAAGATCGTGCTAAATCTCCAAAAACAAAGATACAAAATGATAACAAAAACACACCCAATAGAATGGAATCCAATCGAAAACACCATGTCCTTTGAAGAGGAAATTCTGAGATGTCTAGAGACAACAAATATAGACGTTATGGATATCGAAACCTTAAATGATAACTTAATAAAAGCTATTAAGAACGCAGAGAAAAAGTGCAATACAAATTCTAGGAGAGATAAGGAGGAAAAACTCAGTCAAGAAACAAAAAAACTTATGGAGGCACGAAGAGAACTTAAGAACAAAAACGATACGAATGCACGCGTACTACAACAACTTAATAAAGATATTAATAAAGCAGTGAGAAAGGACGTACGACAATATAACACAAAAAAGATTACAATGGTTGTCGAGAAAAATAAAAGTTTAAAGGTGCTGAAGAGATGTCAAGCTCTAGGTAAGAAGAACATTGTTAAGCTCGCAGATCGAAATGGAAAAGTGGTAACAGATAAAGATAAGATAATTAAGATAGTTGAAGAATTTTACACGAATTACAAGAATTATATAGAGAAGGAAGAAAGACGGCACCAAGTTGAGAAAAGTCCAGAATGTGGGTTCAGAGGATATCCCAGAAATAACAATCGAAGAAGTCTTAAAGTCATTAAATAGAATGAAAAACAATAAAGCAGCTGGTGATGATCAAATCGTTATTGAGGCAGTTAAAGCAGGAGGAAAGACAGTATTGAAAGCATTGACGCAATTATATAACTTATGCCTTTCAAACGAGGTTAAACCATCTCAGTGGAATAAAGCTGTTATAGTAGTCATGCACAAAAAGAGAGATATAACAGAGCTAAAGAACTATGGACCTATTAGCTTGTTATCTCACGTTTATAAGTTGTTTATGAAGATAATAACTAATAGGTTGACATCAAAACTAGACTTCTATCAACCTTGCGAGCAAGCAGGATTTAGAGCTGGATACGGAACAAATGATCATTTGCAAACCATTAAGTCGTTGATTGAAAAAACCATTGAATATAATAGACCCCTGATACTTGTTTTTGTCGACTTTGAAAAAGCATTTGATACGGTCAATCAAAGTGAAATGTTCCAAGCTCTAACACAATGTAGAATAGATCACCGATACATATCTCTCATCAGATACATCTATCAACATGCTACAGCCTTTGTAAGACTTAATGAAGATACTGGGACTTTTCGTATTGAAAGAGGCGTTCGGCAAGGAGACAACATGTCTCCTAAATTATTTACAACTTTGCTAGAATACGCTTTTAAAACAATAGATTGGAACGAAAAGGGCATCAATGTAGATGGAAAATTTTTAAATAACCTTAAATTTGCAGATGATATCGTTCTTATTGCAGAAAGCTTTGATTAGGCACAGATAATGCTCCAAGAACTCCATACTGCCACAAAAAGAGTTGGTCTTAAAATAAATTTTTCAAAAACACAATTTATGACAAATTTAGTCCACAACATAAACATCTCAGTAGAAGACAAAGATATTGAGCCAGTTGACTACTATAAATACTTAGGCCATGAGATCAGAATAAGTCGAGACAACCAAACAATCGAGCTGAAAAGAAGAATAAACCTCGCTTGGGCTGCATTTGGAAGGATGAAGGATATTTTTAGGTCTAAGATTCCAATGTGTCTGAAAAGAAAAGTATTTAATCAATGTATTTTGCCAGTGATGACCTACGGCGCAGAAACCCTAACGCTCACAAGAACAACAATGAGTAAACTACAAGTTGCGGAAAGAGCAATGGAGAGAATTATGTTAGGGATTTCTCTACGTGATAGAATACCCAATGCTACTATACGCAAAAGATCAGGAGTAGCAGACGTTATTGAAAGGATAACAACACTAAAGTGGAACTGGGCAGGTCATGTAGCAAGATCAGTTGATGACCGGTGGACAAAAAGAATTTTGGAATGGAGACCCCGAATACAAGCTTACAGAAATAGAGGTCGACCCCCAACTAGATGGACAGATGACATAAAAAGAGTGACTACAAATTGGATTCAGATGGCGCAAAATCGGACTAAGTGGAAAAGCATGCGAGAGGCCTATGTTCAGCAGTGGACGTTAGAGGCTAGTTGATGATGATGAAACCGGAATACAATAAATCGACTTACCGTTTTTAAAATGTGGACATTTAGAAGATTGTTAAGGATTTCATGGGTAGATAGAGTCACGAATGCAGAAGTGTTAAGGAGAATAGGCAGAAATAGGGAAGTGGAAAATACAATAAAAGAAAGGAAATTGCAATATCTCGGACATGAAATGACAGACGAAATATTTAACATCTTGAGACTCAAAATTCAAGGAAAAATAGAGGGTAGGAGAAGCCGCGTTTCCTGGTTGAAGAACCTGAGAGAGGGGTTTGGTTGCAGCTCAACGCAATTGTTCAGAGCAGCTGCCTCAAAGGTCAGAATAGCCATGATGATTGCCAACCATCGTCGCGGAGATGGCACTTAAATAAGATTACAAGGAACTGTTGACAGAACAAAGACCACAATTCATTGGAAAATAAAACAGGCGAAGGCGAAGCAGATCCCCACAACAAGAAAAAGAAATAACAAATAGGGAAAAGAGAACGGCCATAAGCAATCAAAAATAAGAAAGCACCGGGACCTGGAGGCATCTCACCTGAGCTTATAAAGTAGCGATGGAGAGCAATGGAGAACAGTTCCTGAAGGAATGGACGGAGGCATATATGACATCTATCTTTAAGAAATGGGATAGAAAACGATGAGAAAAGTACAGAGACATAAGCGTAATATTATCAATAGGAATATTATATGGGAAGATACTGCGAGAAAAGATAAAGCAAGCGATAAAAGGCAAAATCGAGGAGTATCAGACAGGCTTCCCGGCTGGAAGACCATGCATAGACCATGCATATACACACTGTTACAACTGTTGGAAAAGAAAAAAGCAAAAAATAAAGATATGCGTTTGGCATTTGTGGACCTGAGAAAGGCGTATGACTCTGTA